AATTGGACATGAATCTTCTTCAAAGTCTTTCGAAAAGGCCGGTCGAATTCGTTTGTAGGCTTGTGAGATTCAGAATACCGGCAACAAAACTTTTGTTTATGCCCGGCTCTTTAACCATCTGTATGGTAACTTTTTTTTGGACACCAATTAAAGGAAATATTGTTTCCCATGTATTTGAAGTTTTGAATACAAGTCACAAGAATTTTAGAAAGCTCACGTTGCTTTTTTTTTTTTTTTAAATTATAAACTGTGAACTTTCTTCAAAGTTATGACACCTAACTATTCTTTAATGACTTGGCTATATTTTTACCATATTTTGGCAGAACTTTGGTTGTCAAAGAGAGTGCCGGCAAAAATCTTTTTACTGCCTACAAAATGTTGAAAGCTTCCTGAGAAGTTTTCTTTTAACTTCATTAACTTGGCTAATGGAGAAATTATTTTATAAGTGAAAAGAACAATGGGAAGAGACTATTATGAGTTCTCATTAGAATATTGTGTAATGACCCAACCGTTCGTTTTGAGAGTTGTAGTCCCGTTCCCCCATTTACTGCTCATTTATGCTTTATATCTGCTATGTGACTTGCCATGATAGTTAATTCGAGTCCGGAAAGGCTTCGGAATGAGTTGAGACACTTAGTCTCAAGGTTGGAAGCTTAAGTTGAAAAGGTTGACCGGATATTAGCTTGTGTGTAAATGGATTCAGAACGGAGTTATGATAATTTCGTTAGTTCCGTTGGGTGATTTTGGACTTAGGAGCGTGTCCGGATAGAAATTTGGAGGTCCGTAGTTGAATTAGGCTTGAAATGGAGAAAGTTAGAAATTTAGAAGTTTGAACGAGAGTGAACTTTGTGGTTACTGAGCTCGGATTGAGGTTCCGGGAGTTGGAGTAGGTCCGTGGTGTCATTTGTGACTTGGGTGCAAAATTTGAGGTTAATCGGACGTGATTTGATAGGTTTCGGTATCGAATGTAGAAGTTAGAGGTTTAGAAGTTCATTAGGCTTGAATTGATGCGTGATTCGTAGTTTTAGCATTGATTGATGTGGTTTGAAGGCTTGACTAAGTTTGTATGATGTTTTAGGACTTGTTGGTATGTTTTGTTGAGCTTCCGGGGGCTTCGGGTGAGTTTCAGATGGTTAACAGATCAATTTTAGACTTAGAGGTTGGCTGAAGTTTTCTGGTGTCTCTGCATCTGGTTTCCTCTTTCGCGATCGCAAAGAAAGGGACACGATCGCGAAGAGTTGTTGCTGGCAGGTGGTGATTTATTCTTCGCGTTCGCGATATTTGGCCCGCATTCGTGAAGCTTTGAGAGTCTCAGGTCATCGCAAAAGCGAGAAGGTTCACGCATTCGCGTAGAGGAGTGGTCAGTTGGGGCATCATGCTTTTAGCCTATGCGATCGTGAAGAGTCAGGTCGGGTAAACATCGCGTTCACAGTAGTGTCTTCGCGTTCGCGTAGACTATTTTGGAGGCTGTGATTATTTGTTCTTCGCGATCGCGACGTAGGTTCCACGATCGCGATGCATAACGTCTGGGCAGAAACTTAAATATTTCAAAACGAGAGTTTGAGTTCATTTTCACAATTTGATTTTGGGAGCTCAGTGGGAGGCAATTCTTGGAGAGATTTTCAAAAGAGTGATTGGGGTAAGTGATTCTTACTTAGTTTTGGTTAAATTCCATGTTTATATCTATAATTTTATCATTTAATTTGTGATTTGGGTTGAAAATTGAGAAAAATGGAGGAAAGTCCTTGTATCGAATTTTTGGGGATTTGATCAAGATTTTGATATCGGATTCGAGTAATTTTGGTATGGTTGGTCTCATGGTTGAATGTGTATTCGAATTTCTTTAGCTCGTGTTGATTGTATCGAATTATTTATGGCTAGATTCGAGGCATTCAGAGGCCAATTCGCGAGGCAAGGGCTTGCTAGCGGAGTGATTTGAGTTGCTTAAGGTAAGTATCGTATTTAAACTCGGTTGAGGCATAGTTGCCTAAATTGTTGTGATAGCCACGTGCTTTTGGGTGCGCACATGCGTAGGGATGATCCCATGTGCGGGCACCGGAATTGTATATTCATGTTTGGATTGTTCTGAGGCTCCTATAAGCCCAGAAATGACTGTTAAGCTTTGAGCTTCGATATCTAATATGTGGTAACAATTTATGTGATCTAATTGAGCCATGATGAGTCTACTTAGAGGTTTAATCCCTAAACAAACTTGAGAAATGCCTTTCATTTATGAAATTGCCGGATTGAGCTACGATAACACACTTTGAACATGCCTACACTTTAGCATGTTATTTACACCAGTCCAAAGATAGGAGAAACTTATTTCATTCATTATATACATGTATACTTGTTTTGTTGCTTCTGTATGATATTTTGGACTGGGGCTTGTGGCTATGCCGGGCGGATTATGTTATTGACACGTGAGTTATCCATGCAGCACGTGAGTTATCCATGCAGATCTATGTATTGATATTATTGACACGTGAGTTATCCGTGCATCAATGGAAGAGTACATGTATTGATATTTAGTTATGGTCCTTTTTTTTTTAGCAAATATATCACCAGGCATGCTGCCTAGTAGTTTTTATATTAATAATAACGGAAAAAACCACAATGGAAGAGTACAAGTAAGGGGGTAAAAGCTTCAATAGTGTTGCCTCTATGCCTTGGCTATATAATCACTCCTATGCGTCTCACTTTGCCTTATGGTGGCAGCCTCATGTAGAGGATCATGGTGTAGTTGCCGGCAAAGTCTTACGAGGGCATATAATCTCATAGCCGCTTGAATACAATATCAAATGCATAGGACATAAGCAAACACCTACTGAGCTAGACCTTACCGTACAAATCCTATTGAGGTATGAACAACCTCGTCTATACTTGCCAGCATGTAAAAAAAATAAGAACTAGCACAGACTAGATATTCTATGATCATCACAGAGTTTATAACATACTCTGTGATGATATTACAAATGATGATACTTAAAAATTGATAAAATAAAATAAGGTAAAAATTTGAGTCTTGCCCCTCATTCTTCAACCTTGTGTAATCTTCAATTTGTAGATACTTGGCTTCTTCTTCAAACCTCTTCAATATGTATTCAAAATTCATTATTAATTCTTGGAACGATTGGACCTCGTTGACGTTGTTGCTGCAGCCACCTTTTTTGCTTTGCAACTCGCATTGGGAGTTGCCTAATAACAATTCCTTCTTTCATGTTAGGTATAAAGGTTGAGGCTTGAGATTTAACATTTGTATTGTTGTTCTTACCTGAAGATTGCAACCCTTGTGCACCTGCAGAGAGTGCTAATTTGTGTTGTGTTGGACTGTCAAAAGCATCTAAGATTGCCCTATCATGGGCTTGTGCCGTTGGTGATCCCACTGAAAATGGGCTGCCACCTTCAATTTCCTTATCATCTCTATCTTCAAAAACGTCCTTTATCCAGTTTATGAGAGTTTTAATTATTTAAACCTGTTTTAGTATATTTTTCATTCAAAAGTGTTGGAAATGTTGAGATGTCGGCTTGCTTAGGCACCATCACGACAGGTTAAGTTTTGTGTCATGGCACATTGACATACTATTTGTTTACATTTTTGGTTCCGATGAATTATTTACTCTTGGAATATAAATATATTGTTTGTTTACAGTTTTAGTTCAGTATTTTCCTATGAATTTCTAAAACTTTATTGCGATTTCATCACACATTTCTTGGCCAAAAATTTGATTATTTGATTAATTGGTCAATAATGATCTCATTGTTCCTTAAGTGAAAGAATTTAATCCAAGACTTAATCATTCCTTTACTGATATATTAGTGATCATAGAAGGGTCGAATATTTATTTCTAAGTAAGTAAATGACCTTTAAACTTGATTTCTCTTCTACAAGTAATAGCGGCATACGTTATCACATAGAATGAGTTTGAAAAATCATTCTAATTGTTTCCTTGTTCCCATTTCAAAAATGGCTGGACGGGAACGAGCTCGATGTACGCCAAATGAGAGTGATACTGAAAGTCGAGCAATGAGACAACGTAGAAGAGTGCATCGTCGAATGACCTATTTCAGTAACAATTCAGATTCAGATTCTGAAGTCATCAGGAATGATGTTCCGAGTTCGATACAAAACATCTTTAGGGATGATAAAGCTCGGTGTAGGGAAGGGAGAAGAAAATATGAGAAATTTAAAAGGTTCAAGATGGACGCATCTGCTACTATACCAAGTCATCTTCACCATTTTAGGTTGAAACTAGCAGAACCGTTCTCTTATCATATATTAGATAATACATAGAGTGTTTTGGCTATATTGATGGATTCTCTCTCAAGTCATTGGGATGATGTATTGGCTAGTATTTATCATGATTTTGGTCCAAATGAGAACCTTTGAGTATACACTCAGGTGCTTTAAGCTGAGTGGGAGAAATAGGACATAGAAGCTAAAATTAAGAAATCTTGGCTTCTAAAGACATTTTTTAGGCCTCGATTTTATCAACCTTCTCCTGTAGACAAGCGTAATGAGGAGACTGACATCTAAATATAAAAATATATATATATATATATATATATATATATATGACTTGTAATTGTGTAAGTTCTAGTATGAATATTTATTTGTTTGTCTCTTCTATTATATTTTTTGTTGTTCATTGGTATATATAACAGAGTGTTGTAAGAGAATAAGACTTAAAGAATCTGTGTGATTCTAGTCACGGATATTAATATAATACATACTAAGAAATATTTTCCACTTTTGATTAAATGTTTGGATTGTAGATGATGATTGGAAACTATTTGACCTTTCGATTCTATACTAAATGTGAAGTTATTATGAGAACTTATTTTCTTGTGTGTGTATATCACATGCATTATTGATGGGTGATACTTGCATGATTGTCTCTTATAAGTATAACAAACTATAGCTTCGAAAAGTATAATTGTCGATCTGAATAATGATAATAAATTAAACAACAATTATTATTCTACATTGAGTCGTAAGATATGGCATGTATTGGAAGAGCAAGATGCTCTAGAGAATATAAATCATATGATGTGTTACTACGAGGAGCATAATACTACCAACATTGAGATCTTCTCAATGCTTATAATGCATAGATAAAGAAAGATCCCACTGCCCAGAAATAATTATAAGTTACAATGGCGATGATCTCATCCATGAATGTGAATAATATCTTATTGCTCATGCCACATGGGCACACTTACGAGAGACATATGGCAATACAACTATGACTCTCCTCAGATAGTTGATAATCAAGTTTGACACGTACACGAAATTAAATGATCATAGTGTCAAGCAACATCGTAAGGTGATGTTTGAAATAATTGGCCCACTTAAAGGTGTTGGTAATGTTCTCTCCGATGAGCAGCAAGTAGTGATCTAGTCTCTTTCCAACTGTTGGAAACATTTGAAGGTTAATATAACCCATTATGATAACATTATAAGCTTTTCGATGTTGCCATCATGTGGAGCTTGAAGATGAGTAGCTTGGTGCTGCAAAAGCTATACCTACTGCCTATGTGGAAGAATTAAGTGATAAAAAGCTTTCAGACTTCAAACATAAGAAGATTTAATAAAGGACAGAAATAACAAAGATTTAATAAGAAGATATGGATCCTTCAAGAAAAAGTAACTTGTCAAATTCCAAGACGGAAAATGGCATAACAAGAAGAAAGATAAAAGTGTTGCAACTTTTAGCACTTGTTCTTCTTGTATAAAATTTCTTTTCTGCAGTAATATTGTCCAGAGTACACTAGAGTATGTTATCTATGGTTCTAGAGACATATGATTGTTTATTTATGTTAAATAATAATCATTCCATGTATGACTATTATTTGGGCTAATTCATCATGGCATATTATATTGAGCCACATATGGCAAGATCGAATGAATAGATTGGCTAATGAGGGATATTTGGGTTTCTTCTCTAGAATAGACATGCCAACTTGTGAAAATTATCTTGCGTAAAGATTACACGTAAACCATTTGAAAAAGCTAATTTTCTATTGCAATTAATCCATTCTGATATCCGTGGTCCAAGGAATGTGAGGGCTAGGTGTGGTCCTTTATGTTTCATTACGTTTATTGATGATTTAACGCGCTTGGTTATGTCTATTTGATTTCTCATAAATCTGAAGCACTAAAATACTTTAAAAAATATTTGAATGAAGTTGAAAATCAATTAGACAAAAGGATTAAGACCTTAAGAACCGATAGAGGGCATGAATATCTATCAAAATAATATGAAGAATTGTGGAATAAAAAGGGCATCACTAGACAGTTATCTATTCCTTACACACCTCAACAAAATGGTTTAGCAAAAAGGATGAATAGAACACTATTGGACATGATAAGGTCCATGATGGCACAAACAAATTTACCTATCTCTTTTTGGGGAGATGCGTTATTGAGTGCAGCCTACATATTGAACAAAGTACCTTCTAAATCAGTTTCTTCCGGTCCTTATGAGCTATGGGCTGGTCACAACCAAACTTAAATGATTTATGACCTTGGGGTTGTGCTGCATATGTAAAAGATTCTTTTAGAAAGTTTGGTAAATTAGATCCAAAAAGCAAGAAATATACCTTTATAAGATATTCAAAACACTCCAAAGGGTATGTGTTCATTGGTGAATTAAAGGATGGAAGTGTTACTGAGATTGAATCACGAGATGTCATATTTCTAAAAAATAATTTTCCAAAGAATGGCGAGGTAAAGAATGGAGAGCCTTTTGATGAAATATTGAGCTCAAATAGTCAGCAAGTATCTTCTGACACAGTTGATAATCAAAACAATCAAGATCTTGTTCTTGATCCAAGTGGGAGTGGGAGTTCTCAATCCCAAAATCCTTATGACGAATTTGAATTTCAACTACGAAAGAATACCAAGAAAAATAAACACAAACATACTTATAAGATTAAAGATTACGTTTTTTTGGTATCTCCCACAGAAATGGATGAGCTAAAATCCATGACCGAGGCTTTATCGAGCCCTGGAAAATTTGAGTGGATGGAAGCAATGAAAGAAGAATTAGAGTCCATAAAAACCAACAAAGTCTGGATCTAGTTTACCTTCCGCCTGGGCGTAGAGTCATTGGGAACAAATGTGTTCTCAAAATTAAACGCAAAACGGATGGGTCAATAAAAAGATACAAGGTACGATTGTGGCAAAAAGCTTTACACAAGAAGCTAGAATAGATTATAAGAAAATATTTTCACCAGTTGTGAAGTTTACCTTAATTCACTTACTTTTGGCTATTGTTGCACGTTTAGATCTGGAATTATACCAAATGGACGTGAAGACATATTTTCTCAATGGAGAACAAAATGAGAAAATCTACATGGAATAATTTGTAGGCTTTCATCGTTAAATGCCAAGAAAAGAAGGTTTGTAAATTGAAAAGATCTATTTATGGTCTGGAAAAATCTTCAAGGCAATGGTATTTGAGATTTCACAAGAAAGTGATCTCGTATGATTTCACCATGACCAATAAAGACCATTGCATTTATGTGAAGAAGTCCAATGTGATATTTGTAATTCTTTCTCTTTACGTGGACGATATTTTATTGGCCGAAAATAATTTGGAGTATTTAAAAACTATCAAGTCATGGCTTTCAAAATTATTTGACATGAAATATATGGGTGAGGCAGACTATATCCTTGTAATTAGGATCCAAAGATACCGTTTGAAAAAGTTATTGAGTCTATCTCAAAAAACTTATATAAATTTTTTTTTTGGAGCATCTTTGCATGAATAGTTGCAAACCCATGGGTTCTCCTATAGTGAGAAATGAAACTTTAAGACTTTAAATGTGTCAAAAATTAAAAATAAAAAGAAAGACGTCTCTCGAGTTTTGTATTGGAGCTTGATGAATGCTATAATGTGTAACGACCCAACCATTTTTTTTTGAGTATTTTAGCCCTGATACCCTAAATTATGCTTCCTCTATGCTATATTATGGTTATGTAATTTTTCGAGGTGGTTGGTTTTGGTTTCGGGTATGTTTCGGAGTGAAATGGGACACATAGTCCCTAAGTTGGAAGGTTAAGTCGTAGGAGTTGACCGTAGTTTGACTTGTGTGAAGATGACTCCGAAATAGAGTTTTGATTGTTTTGATAGTTCCGAATGGTGATTTTGATCTTAGAAGCGTGTCCGGATGTTGATTTGGAGGTCCGTAGGCCGTTTCGACGTGAATTGGCAAAAGTTGAAAAATGAGAGATTTTAGAAAGTTTGATCTGGAGTTGACTTTAGTGATATCGGGGTCAGATCCCGATTTCGGAAGTTGAAATAGGTCTGTGATGTCAAATATGACTTGTCCGCAAAAATTTGAAGTCAATCCGAGTTGGTTTGGTAGAATCGGTATTGGTTTCGGAATTCGAAAGTTCATAATTTCTTAGACTTGAATTTGGGTTGCGATTCGTAGAATTTATGTTATTTGATGTGATTTTTGGCCTCGAGTAGGTCCGTTAGGTATTTTTGAACTAGTTGGTATATTCGTACGGGGTCCCGGGGTCCCCGGGTGTGATTCGAATATAATCCGGAATAATTTGGACCTGTTGAAATTTGCTGAAGAATTGCAGCTTCTAATATCTTCGCACCTGCGGAGGGATTAGCCGCAGGTGCGGGCTCGCAAAAGCAAGCTGGAGATCGCAGGTGCGGAGTTGAGCTAGCCCAGCTGGGATCGCAGGTGCGAGGTGTTGACCACATCTGCGCGTCCGCAGGTGCGGAGAAGTGGTCGCAGATGTGGAAGAGGGCTACTTGGTCAATCATCACAGATGCAGAGAATCCTCCGCATGAGCGCACTCGCAGATGCGAAGCTTTGTCCGCAGAATCGGAATTCGCCTGAGTAAGTGAAATCCGCACCTGCGATGGAAGTTCCGTAGGTGCGGTGCCACAGAAGCGGCAGTTGGTTCGCAGGTGCGACTTAACTGGATAGAAAAGGTAAAATTCGAGGGTTTTTGATTCATAATTTATTTTGGACTTAGGGAGATCGGTGGGAGACGAATTTTTGAGGGTTCTTCAAGGAAAGCTTTGGGGTAAGGAATTCTAACTCGTTTTTGATTAATCTACATGAATCTATTGATGATTTCATCATTTAATTAGTGCTTTGGAGTTGAAAATTGGGAAACATTGGTAGAAACTCCTTAGGCTAAATTTTTGAGTTTTGAAAGGTGAATTAAGGCCGGATTTGAGTAACTCTTGTATGGATGGACTCGGAATCGAATGAGTGTTCTGATTTTGTAATTTTGGTCGGGTTCTAAGACGCGGGTCGGGGTTGACCTTTTGGGTCAAATTTTTAATTCTTTGCAAAGATCGTAATTTCATTGTTTGTATTAGTTTTCTATAGTTATATTTATAGTATGAAATTATTTTGACTAGATTCGAGCCGTTCAGAGTTGGAAAATTGAGAAAAATGCCTTTTAGTGGAGTGATTTAGCGTGGTTTGAGGCAAGTGACTTGTCTAACCTTGTGTGGGAGAATTACCCCTTAGAATTTGATATTGTTATGATAATTGTGATATGTGAAAGCCGTGTACTCAAGGTGACGAGTGTGTACATGAGCTAAATGTTGAAATTCCCGATTTTTAGCTATGTAGATTCCTTTCTTGCTTTAATTGAGTTACTTTAACATGTTATAGTCATCATATTTAGTCTAATTTCACATGTCTACTTATCCTATCTCTTACTTTCTAATTGCTCTACTTGTTTAGTTGAAATTCTTGTTTCCTTATTCTGTATTCACTATTTAACTGTTGAATTCTTACTTGAAATTGCTATTCCTTGAAATATTTTGTTGTTGAAATTGGTATTGAGTTGCAAAGGCCGCGATTCCTATTGAGGCCCAGTGCTAAGTTGTGAAATATTATTCTTTGAGTTATTCTTTCGGTTATTATTGTTGAGACTTTGGTGTACATTGTGGTTGAGCCGTGGGCTCCTTATTGTAAAATTCTATTATTGTTTGGTTTCTCTAGCAAATTATGATTTTGGGCACTTGAGGTACGATTTGTGATATATTGTGATATTGATACACATGCGGTGGTATAAGGTTTGGGTGTTGAAACGCATGCGCTGAGATAAGGTGTGCTTGATACGCGTGGCTAGTAGGGGAACTACTTGAAGCCATGCGGTATGATAAGGTGGGCTAAAACGCGGGATGATATTTCGGCAAAAATAATTTTCAAAACTAAGTGTAAAGGCTCGCGGTGATATAAGAAAAGATTGTGATTCATTTTGTGATTTGAGACTACGAGGCGGTACCTCGGTAGTGACTCTTGTTGACATTTCTCCATCCTTTTGTACTTGTCTTTGATCGTTATTTCCTTAGCATTCTATTAATTGTCTTTCTCTGTGTTGCACTATTTGGTTAGTTCTGTGTAGCTAATCTTGTTATATTATTTGTTGTTTCAATTTCATTACTGTCTTTATTACACTGCCTATATTTGTTCAGTCTTTTATTATTTCCAGTAGGGCCCTGACCTAACCTCGTTACAACTCTACCAAGGTTATCCTTGGCACTTACTGGTACTGTTGTGGTATACTCATGCTGCTCTTCTGCACATCTTTTTGTGCAGATCGAGTAACTTCTTACCAGCCTAGACATTAGTTAGGATTTTACTGCGGAGACTTCAAGGTATACCTGCCAGCGTCCGCATGCCTCGGAGTCCCCCCTCTCTCTATATCTCTTATTCATTATCCTTTATATATATAGACATGATGTATAGGATTATCCAGTATTCATACTTAGAGCTTGTGACTTGTATTTTTACTGGGTCTCGGAATTTGTATATGTTGAGTTGTAACGTTATTTTTATATAGTTGTTGAGATTGAGACTTATTTCTATTGTTATTTCAATTATTCTGCATGTTGTTAGGCTTAACTAGTCTTAGAGACTAGGTGCTGTCACGACGTCCTATGGAGGAAAATTCGAGTCGTGACATAATGTATACTCATCCGGACATTTGTTATGCCATATATTTATTAGATGGTATCAATCCAATCATGGAATAGACATTGATAAGAAATGATGAGGATCTTCCGATATCTAAAGGGAATTGTGGATTATTCACTATATTATAGTGAAAATGATTTACTCTTGAGAGAGTATACAAATGTGATAGACATCATGGCAAGTGAATAAATAATATTACAATACATACATGCAAAAAAAATTATTGTTTATCTTCTTACAAAATCAATATCTTGAGACATATTTGAGAAATATGTTGTGGTTCTAGGTTTGCTAAAGATATGATAATATTTATGTATTATAAAATATTTTGGTCAAAATAGTATACTCATCAATATATTATTATTGAGATTATGTTCATATTATGTATGCATGTGATGATATCCTTGTGAAGGATATAAGTGTGTCGAACAAGTCGCGAGATCGGTTCTCTCATACGGGCGATCGCCTCTGACGTCAAGGAACATGCAAAGATGGGACCTATTAGAACCTTGATTAGTACAAGGCCATGTATATTTTTGGATAAACTGGTCGATTTTAACTAGATATCAGACTTATGGATTTAATGATCCTTAATGACTTATTTTATAAGCCAGATGCGAGTTTCTCTAAGAAATTGAATTTGAGGATTATTAAAGTGAGAAACTCGGGTTGGACATATGGAGATTTCTAGACTAAGATCTATATGGTGTTGAATGAGTAAAGGAATAAGACACGCGTGCCAATATAAGGTGGGGACACAGTAACATGTGTTTCATACCACGTGTGCTAGCGATCATTGGGATAATCGAAGAATGAATCCCTGCTTCTTTATTGTGTGAGATCCCGAAAAGTTATATTAACTTTTATTGGAATACTCTTTGACCTTTAACTGTTTCTCGAAGGGCCAATCGATATTGCTACTTTAGTATGTCACTAATAACCATGAGTGATTCGGCAATACAGTGCATGTTTAGGAAATCAGCTGATTTGAAACAGATAGATTCGAGTAGAAAGGGAAGATAACTAAAATTAGTAAATTTAACTTGTATTCACAAGGTCGACCATTATACTTACCATAAGGGTATTGAGTATAATTATGGATACAATGTTATACATGAACTCGAGTTCACCACTTTAGAGGATGATGGATATGATAAACAGCTACTGGAGTAGCAGATAATGTCTAGGGTATTGCGAGTAATAAGATCCTCATGTTAGTAGCAAATTATTTCCGTATGTGATTGGATTTCTACAAAGAGCTTTTGTACAACCTTAATAGGTATGAAATATTATAACTCTCTATGCTCGAAGGTCGCACGAATTATCTGTCAGTATGAATAATGTGTGTTGTCGCTGTGATACTAGACGTGGTCTAGCCCATCATGAGCGAAGTGGGAGATGTTAGATATCGGGCGGGTCGCTTATATGGACCGACCTAACCCATTTAGAAAGGATAATGACATAAGGTTTAGAAAAGTTAAGAGGCGACTTCCTTAAGGAGAAGTTAAAAAATAACACAGTTATTTTATTTAGTAATAAAAACAGATTTCATCATGGATGAGTTCTCTACTCTTTTTTTTGCAAGAAGAGAAACAAACGTCCCTTTTCTCTCCAATCAACACTTCTCTCTGGTTCTCTGAAAACAAAACACACACATAAGAGAGACATTTAGTTTGTGAAATTAAACTTCGTTTTCTAGTGAATCGAAGTTCGACTTGGGGTAATTCTTTTGGTGGTGAGTTCAACAATCTCCGCTGTACTAAAAGGTACACAATTCGTTGTTCTCGCCCCTCAAATTAATCTTACCGGTGTAAATGGGAAAAAGCACCTTTCTATTATATATTACGCTCACAGCCCTTCCTATTGTTGCTTGACCATCGTAATTTATGCATATAGGTGTCAACGATTTGGGCCAAAATAGAATATCTTCGAGCAAATTCTAGAGTCATTCAGCTTCTTCACCGATGTTGTCTAAGGCTATAAACTAATCCATAAATGATACTAATATCATTTAAAAGGAACNGGGGGGGGGGGGGGGGGTTGAAGATGGCATGTGCCCCACCCTACTCCCTTGTCCATTCATGTGATGTTAAACATTATAAATTACAAATAAGAACACGAACACACACAGAGATAGAGACATTCAACGCTAGGATAAAGAAATTTGCTTAAATGCTACTAAATGGAGTAGGTTGTATAACTTCAAGATCAAGTTGGTCAACAAAAGTAGCGTGGAGATTCAGCAACGAAATTGGAGTATAATTTACACTTTCATCTTTTAGAGCCGAAAGCTAAAAAGAAAGAAAGGCCAAAAACAAAAAAGAGCGAGTAATATCCAATTCTCGTGGCCACTTTAAATTCTTGCTTAATCTTGACGAGCCACGTGTGAAGTGACTCCAAATTAGTGTCTTACTTATTTTCCGAGGTGTGATTGGGTGCGCTCACGAACATGGATAAAAAGATTGGCAACCATTAATTTATAGTTGAAATTTTTAATACATTTGATAGGTTCATACAAATGTAACATTAACTAATATATGATGAATTCTCGAGCTATTTGACATGCAATAATCTCCAATAGAACTCCTTAATAGTTGATAATAACATACAGTAACATGAAATTAGTTAACTCATAGTAATAAATTCTCAAAGTATTTAATATATTATACCAAAAGAATGTCTTAACAATCATAAAAGTGATGTAACAAGTTGTAACTAAATTCTACTCAAAAAATCCTAAGTAAATATATTTCTACATGTTCAATTTTTTTTGAATATCCTCGAAAGAATTTAAGTAAATCTTTTTCATTCGTCAAAATGTAGATAAACATAATCAATTGATACTTATAATGATGGGAGGACTATATGCTGAATATCCTCGAAATAATGTACAGATTGATTTGATTACATAATTTTGAAATACTTGAAATACCGAATACTACTCCTTTCATTCACTTTTATTTGTCTTGGACTTTTCACGCCCCTTAAAAAATAATAATTGTAGTATATATTTTATCATACAATCCCTAATAGTGATAGTATTTCAAAAAGTTTTGAAAAGTAATTTTTGAAATGAGTAATTAATGACAAGGGTAAAACGAGAAAAAAAATTATTTTTCTCTTGATTTGTTAAAATGGACAATTAAAAGTAAAATATATTTTTAGTATAGTTGACAACTAAGCCGGAGGGAGTATTATATATAACTCTTAAACGATCCAATTAGTGAAATTAATACATCAAAATATTAAATTATTATTACTATAGACCTTTAACCTTATCTTCTTTTTTCTTTTTTCAAATTATTATTTTGCGATAGCCTTATCCATTTTCCCTTTTAAGTCCTTTTCACATTCAAATTTCAAATCAGGAAGCTTTTACAGTCTCTATTTAAAATCGAACATCCCCACCACTATTTTCCATATCTAAATCTCAAATCTCCTTCCAATCAAAATCCAGAATCTTCTTCCATGGCGGTTCGAACTCTGTACGGATTGGTGTTCTTAGCAGCGTCAAGCACTGGCTTTATCTTCCTACACCTCCTTCTTCAACCTATCTTCTACTTCACCGCCTAACACGGCGGCGCCGCTATGAACCGGCCCCGATTTGGACCGGTCGCAGATGAGTCGACGAACCGGAAACATTTTTTACCTCCATCGCCACCTTCTGCCTCCAAATCCTTACACGGCGGCAACACGCAATTCCGGCGGGTCGGTTCGTAGAGTAATACAAGTATGTTGAATGTATAGCGTTTATATTTGGAAAAAACAGAGATATTTGCCTTTTATTTTAGATTTTGCTTTTGTTTTATGGATCTGGATTTGATTTGTGTGATCTCGTTTGTGTAAGTTGACCTGCTTAAAAATAGCTTAGTTATGTTGCTTAATCATTGATTACCCTCTCGTCTCATAGCTTAAATTACAACTACACTTGTTAGCTAGACTTATTACTTTCCAATTTGAATTCAGAAAATTGGAATCACTTTGTACTAGCAACTGATACAAAACATTTTGATATGATTGCAAGTTCTTGTCAAAATGTATTTCAATTTATTTATGTGTTTTTTTTGGTTTGAATATGATTAATAAGATAGGGAATGAAACTGTATGGATTCTGATCTGAAATGGTAATAGAACTTTTGAAAATTTCAGGTTTTTTCTGATGTAAAATTTTGGCCTGATATATGTATAGTTTGGGTGAAAATGGAACTCGTGAACCAGATATTGGATCCATATAATCAATACTCTGTGTTCATTCATAGTATCAGTTCAAATTCAAGACATACAAAATCTATGAATATTTTTATCATCTAATCCAAAATAAGTATATTGGTCTAATTCAAACTTATTAATTTTAGCGTTGAACCCATTACATTTTTTAAATTATGCGTTCAAATACCCATTACGTTTTTTAAATTATGCGCTCAAATATGCTACCCTTGATAACAGCTAAGGAATTATTGGGTCTCATTGTTTTCTACTTGGTCTGGGCCACCTTGTATACCCGGCACAGTTTGCTTTTAGTCATTCATTAATTTGTATATACACTGATGATAGAACATTCCAGACATAATAAGAAATAAGAATTCATTTTCTCTCTTAGATATTTGTTCTTCTCGTTTCTCTCTCTCCTCTTTACTAGTATCTGTACTCGCGAGAATATTAAATATAATTTTTTCATAAGAAATGTTACTTGAAAAATATGGTAGACATAAAGGAGCTTGCAAATGTTATTATTTTATTAACATGTAAATCCACTGAATATTCATACATTCAAGTCATAAGGAAACATATGTATCTATTAGAAAATAGCTATTGAGGAAAGCATTCATAAGAAAATGCAATCTTGGATGATTGGTCATATTCTGATTCTCACAAATTTATTAGTACCGTTTGAAAAAAGCCATTTTTACTACACAATATGTTAGTACAAATTAACAAAGTTCCCCTTAAAGGCACAAAACAAAATCTTCCTTCGATCCAGTTTCAATCAAGCATTGATGGAATAGACCTTCGAATATCAGCCACTGAAAACAGAATGAGCTCTTGGTTAACAAATTCAATATATGAAATGTACTTTTCTTTACATAGATAAATGATGAGTCAAATTAGGAATATTTGGATGTATGCTAATCAAAATAAAATAAAAGTATTAATGGTCCCAACCTCAAGTTGTCTAAGCCAATTCTTTCTTGTTTATATCTTCTTGTGACTGAAAGCAAGTTCTATAGATTCCCCATCTTATTACCCGCCCAGACAATCTTTACTGTGTTTCTAAAGATCTTGAAAGTACTCATTTCCTTATTTTGAAGTACTTGTTCTCGGCTCTTATCAAAGCAATAAAGAGAATAATTAGTAGAAAGTCAAGTTTGATGGTTTTATAAAATGTTTGGTGTAAAATCTTGTAGTACTTAATGGACCAACCACTTTAATTGGCACCCAAACTCTATCTTCATGACTCATACCAAGCATGGTATAAAATGATAGAATCTTCACACTCGTGTAATTAGCATCAAAATGCCTTATAGTGAATGATCAAGCCATGAAATAATTAGTTACCTATAGAAGATATATATTATAAATAGGGGTTTGAATTTAAAGATAAAAACATGTCCTCGAATGAATTAAAATTGAAAAGTTTGTTATGCATAATAGAAATGATACAATCAAATATAGTTGAGAAGAAGACTTCAGTCTAATCCAATCTATTAGAAGTAGTTATTTAAAATTGAAGCTAAACACTTTCACGTCTATCGCAAAAAATTATCTTTTTATTTAAATTTCTTTTGTTATTCCACTTCAAATTTATATTAGAGTTTTTATAAATTTTCTTTTGGTATTCCACTTCAAATTTATATTAGAGTTTTTATTAACTTTGTCCTAAGGTTTAAAAGTATTTTATAATGCACGAAAATTCTCTTGTTTTAAAGATAAAAGTAAAATCATAGATTCATAATCTACAATAAAAGAATTTATTGAGTACCCAGTGTACCCCATGTTTAGTAAAACTTAAAGCGTCAATGACAAAATATTATTTACAATTCTATATTTGGATACTCAATCTCCTTCTTATAACCATGACCAAACAAAAGAAGAAGATAAGTAAGGGAAGAAAAGGGATTAGAGAAATGAAAACCATAAGAAATGTACTGAATTGGTAAAGATTCTTACCGGCACAAATCAACAATTTTACTTGTTTTTTTGCTCCAAGTTCGTTTCTAACCACGACCTGCTATACAAACCACTCCTTGTCCTAAACACAAATGTAGAATATTAGTAAGATTTTGGATTAACCAACCAATCATTAATCAAGTTGCAATATAATTTGTTTTTTGTGGGTTCACTTAGTAGTCTCCAAGGAACTTAGCCAATGGAATAAAACTAACATTTACACTTTCCAAAGCAATTGTTACAGTTACTATAAAGACAAAATAAAAGCACAAATCACAAGCCATAGGGAATTAGAAGTTTATGCCAAAGAATAATTATGATGCAAAAATGGGAAGATATTACTTTACTACTATTAATAAGGGAGAAAGAGAGTTGTCTCCGGTTAAGGATTGAGCTGCATCCGGTTGCAATTCAGGTTTAAAGGGTATTTCGGTAATTGCATGAGAATAAAATAATTCCGTTGGCTGAAACAAATGAATTTACTGTACCTACATTTTAAATATTTGGGTCTTTTGACCAACTTACCCTTGAACGAACTTTTTGAATGTGACGTGTGTCATTCCAACTTACTCCTTGTTCATAACACGCTTTGTTAGTTTACTGACACTCTAGGGCCCACTTTTATTTCCAGTACACGTGTTGATTTGCAGCATTTTGAAAAAGCCAACTTCTGGTCAAGTGGGACCCTCATTCAATGCTTCCAATGTCACGTTTTATGGGTTTACCTATTGTTGCCTTTCTTTTTCATTTCTATAAAAATAAAAAAAACTTTTGTTTTAAGTAAATCGTCTAGAAAGATTATAAGAAATAAAATAAGGCACAAATCATATACTAAAAAATCTAGCAGTACAAGATATACTTATTCCAAAAGAGGGAAATATTTTTATTCAATAATTTGAAAATAAAATTAAAATTAATTGGCCAAAACAATAATTATATGAAAAACACTTTGAAATGTTAAGTAGGTAAAGTTTAATAGTTTTTAAAATCAAGTATTATATATTGATTAGCAGCCGAGTCGAGTTTGTTTTGTTTGTTTTTTTCCATCGGAGTTCTTTTACATTGTTTATCTTGCTGTACTTTAATCATTAACTTTTGTATCGCTCCTCGTAGTTATCTTGCTTTTTATATTATTTAAAAGTTTTCATTTCCAGAATTTATCATCTTAACTTTTTTTTTCAAATATTCTACTTTTGATTCATTCCATTTCCGTTTCTTTTATAAAAAAACACATTGAAGATTGTAGGTGTGAAATTTCACTATTAGTTAATAAATTAATGGTGGATAAATAGTAAGAATTTTGAGTTACTGCCTTATGGAAAAGAAACAAAGAATTTCTTTCCTTTTGTTAATATCTTCGTTTATTTATCATCATCAAATTATCAATAGTTCCAAAGAATAAGATTCTATATTTTATTTATTTATTTGGAAATCCTTGAATTTATAAAACTCTTCTCAGTTTCAATTTGGTGTAGGAAGTATAACCACGTGAGTCTATGACAGCGTGTACATAAGATAGTAAATTACTACTTATGATTTAAGCAACCAAATAAAATCTAAGAATGAATCAACAAGATTTAATAGATGAAGAATTCAATTAAATAAGAACTAAAGAAAAATGTGAGCCAAAAAAACTAACTTTGTAACTCACTTTGTCCCAACCAAATAGAATCTAATAATAAATCAACAAGATGAAGCATTCAAAAAATAATAAGAATTAAAAGAAAAAGGCGAGCACATTGCATAGGAAAAGAAAAACTAAGTAGGCGTTTGGACATAAAAATTATAATTTTTGGAAAAAAGTAATATTTAGAGTTAAGTTGTAAAATGATATTTGGAATTTGAAATTATGTTTGGACATGTATTTCATTTGCAAAAATGTTGCAGCTTTGTGAGTGGAGAAAAAGAATTCTGAAAATTTTGAAAAAGTGGTCAAAATCACTTTTTTATTTTTGAAAAACTCATTTTCAATTTTTTTTTAAAAATTTGTAAAATTTCATGAATAAATACATTTTTGTAAAAAAAAATTATTTTTAATGGACAAACGGGGCCTAACTCTATGGCCCACTTCGCCAAACTTCAAAAGGTATAAAAATGTGTTTTTTTCAAATTATATAATGATTGCATGACAACACATAAGGAGAATTGACATTTTTTTTTGGCTTTATATTAGGTTTGACAATAGAAGCCCAAACAAATTGGCACCAAATAACTAAAGTTATTTTCCTTAAAAACAGCAAAACAATTTATAGAACCGCTCTCTCTCTCTCTTCTCTCCAATTCTTAGTTATGCATCACGTAAATAAAGCAGCTGTTTTCCGTCTTCTACGTTCCATATCTTCTTCCAAAATGCACTCAGTACTCTTATCTCCCTTTCCACAAATGGTGCCTTATTCATTTTCTCTTTAGTTTTTTTTAATTAAAAATCTCTTCTCTCTTCTAATTGGTTGCACCCATCTTCCTAAAAATTAGATTTTATTTCCTTTCAAAAGTATCTGAAAATTTCTCCAAAACTTCTTTATATTCCTTTTCTGTTTTTTTTTTCCACTGTAGCAATGTATATAAGTTTAGAGCAAGTTCTAAGATATAAAAATAATAAATATAATTGTGGGAGTAAATAAATTTTTAATATATATTTTGATATACAAAGATGAAAAATAATTTTTTGATATATACAAAGAAGGAAAATAAATTTATGATATATATATAGTTATACATATTATTTAATATATTATACACTGTGATATATAAATAATATAATTTTTTTATTATGATATATATTGGTATAGAGACAATAATAAATTTTGGATAACTATATTTATAAATTCATAGTTTGGATATACAAATAATGAAAATAAAATTTTAATATTCATTTTGATATACACAAAGAATGAGAATAAAATTGTGATATACATTTCGCAAATAATCACCGATATGTATTTTGGCTGTTATATATCAATGTGTATATCACACAAGATTTATACATAGACATGTATATCATATTATATGTCAGTGTATATCACACAATATTTTCATTGATATACATAGACATGTATATATATATATATATATATATATATATATATATATATATACATGCATGATATACATGAAATAAGATATCTAAGTCGATATACATTGAGATGTGTATTCACCAAAATTTGAAAGTTCAATAAACTTGGAATGTGTATAGTCATCCAAATTCATTCCTCTTTTGATTCAAAACCAACTATTTCTTTTCTGAACAAAATTTTTGTGCGAATTTGTGAAAAATTTGCTTGATTTCATCCATTAATGCTAAGTGAGAATAAAGAAACTTGTTCAACTTCGAAAACGGGCCACGAGAATTCAGTTTCATGGTTGGTCCAATCATTTAGGCATTTATTTATGCCAATTGCTCTAAATTTTCTGGTGTGAAGAGAGAGAATGAGGAGATATGGAAAAGAGATACGAAGAGAGAGACACATAGGGAAAGAAGGTCTAACCTATTTTTTTTTTTATACAAAATTACTTTTTTAAATTAAAATATAAATGCGGGCCATAAGATGCCAATAACAATAAGTTGTGTTTTTTTATGCCATTTATTAGGTTAGTTTATCAAACAAGGCCAAAATCCCTTAGAAAAAACTGTACTCTCCGGTCCAATGGTATGCGTATGCTTAATTGAAGCCGGATTTAGAAAAAATCAGCAGCTTTGCATATATAATATTTTAACAACGATAAATATTGAACTAGATTATTTTTTATATTGATGTAGTAGATAAGCTCCGTGTTGGGATATAATATGTTTTAATGTGATTTACATATATATATATATATATATACACACACACATCACAAAAATTTCTATTAGTATCAAACTAGAAAACCAAATTAGTTTTTAAATATTTTTAGATTAGCTTACAAACTAGCCAACAAAATTTTGCAATAATATAAAGCATCTTTTTCATTCATAAACTGATATTGTACAGTTTATGAACTTCACAACAAAATTAATACACCATAAATAGAATTAAATTAAGATATCAAAAAGAAGATAAAATACTAAAAGAATAAAGAATAAAACACACGAACTGCCTAGAAAATCTTAATGTAATTAGACACAAATTTAATTTGTTTATATTAGTTTTAGAAAAAACAAATATGAGCAGTTGGGTTATCTATAATTATAGAAGCCTCAAGATGAAAAAGTGGGAAAAGAAAGCTTTCTACCTTCAGATCATCTTCACTGGTAAACTTCTTCTCCTTTGTTGATTTTTTCTCTGCCTTGAGTGGCACTGTAATTGAAACTTGAAGCGTTTGGAATTGAAAATATATGCGTTTGGTTGAAACGGCAGGTGAAAACATGAAGGCTTTGGCTTGAAATAGTACTTCAAAGAGGATTGTAACTAGGGCCGAGCATAATTTGGTAAATATCGAATTAGCGTATCGAAATCGAAAATTTTAGTGTTTGGTATTCGATATTTTGGTATTCGGTATGGTATTTGATTTAATTTAAAAAAAAAGAGAAGGTATTAGGTATGATATTTGGTATTTTAAAATAAAATACCGAAATATCGATACTGTACCGAAATATATATATTATATTACACAATACATATATTATTAATTATAACATAAATATAAATAATCTAAAATTTTGCTTTCCTTTATTATCTAAGTTCATCAATTAACTATAAGCAAATAATAAGACATTTTTAATGATCAAATGTATTCCTTTATGTACAGTTTTCATTCTCTAAGTTGATATTTACTAGTTTTGAACAAAAATTATGTCAACAAACATTTTTATTTTTGTACTTTTGAATACTTTAATTAAGAATATTACATTCTAGGACTCTACGCACTAGTTAGTATTCAAATCGAATAAACCAAAACCGAAAGGATAAAAATCGAATCATATCAAATTTAATTAGGTACGGTATTGATATAGCATTTTAAGAAATTGAATATCAAAAATATCGAAACAAAATGTTTAAATACCGTACCTTACCGACCGATAACAGCCTCCTCGTAACTGTTGCCTTGTCTATCTCCTTATAATTAGGAATTGTAACTGTAGTTAAAGTAAAAACGTGAAGGCTTTGACTTGAACAGTACTTTAAGAGGATTGTAATTATTGCCTTGTCTATCTCCTTAAAAAATCTAATTTCCAATTCTAATGAATAAATAAAATAACTGCCCAACATGGGTGGAAGTATCCATTGTGAATAATTGTGTTCCCCACGTTTGACGATAAATCGTGGAGTTTTTTTTATTTTTTTTTTATTACTATTTTTATGTAAAAAGTTTTCTTTCATAATCGTTGATCACCTTACTATCTTATTGTTTTTATTCTGCTTTTATATGAATTTTTGAGACTGTCCTTTCTTATCTATATTTTCATTAATGTGGTGCTTATTCTTTCCTGAGCCGAGGGTCTATTGAAAACAACTTCTCTATCCTCACAAGGTAGGGGTAAGGTCTGCTTACACACCACCCTCCTCAAACTCCACGATGTGGGATAATACTGGGTATATTGTTGTAATAAATTAAATAAAAAACTAATGAAAAACGTGAGAGTGTGGAATTGGAATAAAAAAAATTTTAGTTTTTAGTTTTAAAAAGTATGTGCTAAAAAGCGTGGGACTCCATGGTGTTAATAACTGAATTGGTTAATATTAAAATTTTGTAATTTCTTTTCTATTTTAAAGATCTTGGAGTTTTGTCCGACATGACCGGTGTTAATATTTTGTTTTGACACTTGGCATAATTTCATGGATTTGCCTCTCCTTTTATATATTAATATATTAGGGTTTCAATCCTAAATCAATTTTCGCGATTACACTGCGAATTAATGAATTAATATGGTATCAAAGCCTATTATCAAGTGTTTATGGCTCCGCATGTTCATCTGACGATGTTTGTTTCTCGAGTTTTGTAGAAGTTTTCATCGCCGGAAAGTTTCTGCGACCTTCTTCGATTTTTGATCGATTTAGTCAAAATTGATGGTTGTTAGTGCATTTCTCAGAGATTTTGCGGTGTTTCTCTGGTAAATCTGTGGCTCGATTCTGTGGAGTGTATTCATGCCTAATTTTCGACTCAGCCGGTGGTATCGAAGGTCGTGGTTGTTTATTTCCGTGATAAATGGAAGGCCTTTCTTCTTTAGGTTGCAAAGAAGGATAATAATATCTTTTCATTACTCAATTTTGGGTTAAAGTGTTGGTAGATAACAATTTTCTATTTTTCTGTACAAAATTGACACGACTAGGGTTTAGAAATGAGTAGTCCTGAAGTGCGTTCGTCACCTACAACCGATGGTTTTGACGATTTACTATCCCTCATTCCCATCCTTTCTACATACATCCCTAGGATAGTCTAGGTGCTCACCTGGTGTCCCCTCCTTTTGATGGTAATGATTTTGTCATTTGGCGTAAGAATATGCTTAATGTTCTTGTCACGACCCAAAATCTAACCATGGTCGTGATGGCGCCTATCGTATTACAAGGCAAGCCTACTTCCCAAAATATTACTACAAAATCAATTATAAAAATTTAATAAAATATTTCAACATTTAAATTTTTCATAAACTAAATCAACTCTAAATATAATATAGAAAAATACGGAAACGATCCACAAACATCGGGGTGTCACTAAGTCATGAGCGTCTAAAACTATAAACTAAGATATATAAACTATCTAACAGTCCAAAAGAAGAAATGACAAAAGGAGTAACAAGGTCCTGCGGACGCTAGCAACTACCTTGCAATCTCCACAGATAGTCGGCCTGAACTCAACGATCGTCGCGCTCTAACTCAGCTGGATCTGCACATAAAGTGCAGGGTGTAGTATGAGTACAACCACTTCAGCAAGTAACTGAAATAATTAAGGAACTGAGCAGTAGTGACGAGCTAAATAAAACAGTCCAATTATTTATTTTCATAATTTAAAAATAAACAGAAATAAACAGGTAAACTCCATAACTCAGTAAATGCCACAAAGAAGTTTAACAGATAAATGCAGCAACAACACAAATAAATACAACCTCACAGCAGTGTCACTCCATCACTCATCACTCGCACTCAGTCAACACTCAACACTCTGCGCTCACTAGGGGTGTGTACAGACTCCGGAGGGGCTCCCAAAACCCAAGCTCTAAGCACGGACAACTCACGTACAATCATATTAATACCTGGATCCGCACGGTCAACTCACGTGCTACGCGGATAACTCACGCGCTATGGTATCAATACCTGGACCCGCACGGTCAACTCACGTGCTACGCGGACAATTCACGCGCTATGATATTAATATCCTCACAACCAGGCCCTCGACCTTGTGAGCACCTAATATTTTACCGTGTTTGAATATTTCCCGCTTCCATCTTCCCACGCGTGTCCCCACTCTTTGTCCCCCACGCGTGTCTCCACTTTACCTTGTCCCCCACGCGTGTCCCCACTTTACCTTGTCCCCC